GAGAATTTTACTACCATCGATCTTATAGTATTAGGTGAAGTAGGGATCCGGAAACCACTCTTTGAAAACAAATACCGCAAATCTGAAGATGTGCAAAAACTATTAAATGTAAAGCCATCTTTAGCAACCATGCGCGATACCATTTTTTCCATAGAAAGTTCTTTTACGAAAAACGTTTCTATTGTTTTGACCTTTTTTGATAGAATTACCTCTCTTTGTCTTTGCAGTCGATGTATATTTTAGACTCTAGTTCAACTGATTCATGCTGTTTTGAAGTTGAAGCTCCGTCTTGTTGTAAAACGTTTAGTTTTAAATCAGTTCCATGTTTAGTTTTTAAATGGATTAATAACCCTTTTGTTGATCTTTGACTAATTTTTAAAATAGCCGAACATTACATGCACTTCGCATTTTCTCCTTTATTACTTTTTTTAAAATAATTCCATATAGTTTTAATTTGCGACATGCTTAGTAGGTACTTTTGTTTTAAAATCTTGATGTAAATAATTTTTGAAGTCTTTTTAAAAAGTAGTGCGCTTTTTATTAATCACGTTTTCAATTTAACGTTTTCAACATACTTATCAACAAAAATTTCAATATACTCATTAGCAAAAATTTCAACATAGTCATTAACAAAACAAAAAAAAATTGAACGAGTTTCTCAGTATACATTTCATTGTGCACTTAATGACTATTTTATGACTAATCATTAACAAAACAAAAAAAATTTGAACAAGTTTCTCAGTATACATTTTATAGTGCATTTAATGACTAGTAAACTTTTAAATGAATTTGTTATGCAAATACATTAAATACTTCAATTTGATATCTTTTTCGTCTTTGTTTATAGAATTGCTTTTTTTTATTTAAAAGCAATAATTTCAAAATGTATGTTTGTATGTGTAAATGTATATATGGGGCCATCCATAAAGGACGTCACCATTTTTAGCCAATTTTTGACCCCCTCCTCCCTTTTGTCACCGGTTGTCCTTTTTCCCTATACCCCCCTTGAAAAGAACGTCATAAAATCCTGAACCCCCCCCCCCCCCTATTTTTAACTCCAAAAAAATTTATTTCATCTCGCAATGATGTTTGAATTTGCTACTACACCTTTGAAAAATAAAATTGAAAATATTCTCATACCTTTGTAAAAAATTATAAATTGTAACACGGCGCTTGGCGATAAGGCAAATTAATGCCTTCTTCTTGCTCCGGCCATTAACTTAATTGTAAATATTTGTAAACTGTAATACTTATTAAACGGCAAAAATATAATGTTAATATATATATATATATATATATATATATATATATATATATATATATATATATATATATATATATATATATATATATATATATATATATATATATATATATATATATATATATATATATATATATATATATATATTATAGATTTAACATGACGATGTTATTTTTAAAAAATAACTAAAATGTTTGTAACAAGTTGTTATATTTTAATTTCAATTTCAAAAACGGAAAGGATGTTGTTTTTAGATAGGAATTTTTTGGGGATCCAAATTCTGCAAAAAAAAATTTTTTTTTTTTTCAAATAATTTCTTGTGGGGTCCGTTTCGATTTTTCGGAAATGACTAAAATGTAACTAATTAAAAGGGAAAAATTTTAAATAAAAATTTTTAATAGAATCTTTATTTATTATATCGAATTTTTATTTAGGTAAAAACCAAAATAAATTACCGCAAAAATTGAGTTTTTGTGGAAGTTATTTGCAAAAAAGCTAAGCTCATTTTCATAATTTAGACAGAAAATATTACCTACGGTGATATTTTGTATTTACAGTTTTGCTTGTTTTGAAAATAAAGCGAGTTCAATTTTGAAAGTTATGAGGATTTCAATTCTGCAGAAAAAGGAAGAAAAAAAAGATATCACTAACGTTAAGAAAAAGTTGAAAAAATTTTGAAAAAGAAAAAGTTTGAAAAAATTTATTTTGATCACGCTTTGAAGCTGAATTTTACTAAAACTTTGTTTAAAAAAATTATGGAACCAAATATCAATTAAAAGGGATTCAAGGTTGAAAAATCCTTTTAAATACCAAAAAAAGAGAAGTTTTAAAAACATATCAAAAATACTAATAACCGGTATTATAATTAATAACACAAAATGATTGGTGATTTGGTGAAGTATGGCTTCTTTTTTTTTATATTATTAGAGAAGTTCGATTTACTCAACCGAACATTTTTTGAACGCAAACTTATTTTCAAAATAAGTAAGATATTATATACAATTAGTTGATAAGAAGCAAAGCAAGAACATTTTCTGATGATTGTTCACCATTTCTGACTTGATCTTTTTCAAGCTCTTAGAAAATATTCTAGGGTCCGACCTAATTGTAGTTGGTTGAAATACTGTATTAACTTTTAAAATTTTTGCTCGGTGAATTATTCTAGCTTTGAGGGTTTCTATGCTTAAGACTTCTTGTGACTCTTCTTAATAAAATTAAAAGAAAATAAGAACAATTTCAATTTAAGTAGTTTATTTTACGAAAAGGAAATTTCGAAAGAATGTTAGAGTTTTCTTAGAGCGGAAAAATGCGAAAGAAACTTCATATAAATTATTAATTTGGACCTTCAAATATAGTATTATTATGTAACTATTCTTGATCGCCATTGGATTACTTACATAATAGAAGTTACATTTATACATAACAGAAGTTTCATCCTACACATAAACATGTATAAACATCGAAGTTTGTTTACTTCTGCTTATTTTATATTTCTAACTCCAAATTTAATTTGATCAAAAATTTTATATTTATAAATGAAAAAAAAAAAATGTTCAACTAGTTAATCCAAGTACTAACTCACCAACAAACACAATACAAAATCTAGATGTCTTTTGATCAACAAAACTAATTTATGTAAGATTTGACCAAATGAGACCAAGAAAATGTATTCATTGTCAAAGAAGAGTTTTATTGTAATTCAAGCCCTTCTTTATTATGACCTACAGTCAATACGCATTATAAGATGATATCTTTTTTCAGTGTGAAGATAAAATACACATAATTATGTATAATTTATTTTCACATTTAAAAACATGTTAAAATGCTTTGAATATTTTGGTATTCAAAGCATTAAAATGCATTTTAAAATGATAATAAATGTCAACTTGAAGTTTTACTAAATTTAAAAAATGCATGTTCCTAATTTGACAATATTATTTACCATGTATATAAAATCAAAGTAGTTAAAATTTAGTAACTTAGTAACAAGATACAAAACCATTTTGATTTTTTTTTTAAATATTGTATATTATATGTGTATATCAATGCAATATTTATATAATATACTAAAGCTTTTTTTTAAAAAAAAGGATATAATTATGTAATATAAATGCCTATAAACGTTAGGGGAATATATATTTTTTAAGAGTTATGAAGAAATTCATTAATATCATTTGTTTACAAAAAACGTTTTCAATGAGTTTCTGCTATTGATTATTTTTAATTGAGTTTTTTACGAAATACGTATAAAGCATTTTAAGGCCTTTTTGGAAAAAAGGTGTGACAAAAACTATGCGTTTTTGAAAACAAAATAACTATTTAGATATATCACATGACTTAGGATGGTCGTTTTATACAGTTTAGTTACTTTTTATAACTAAAAATAAGCTAAAGATTTCATAAACTCCTCAATAATTAGAGATATTAATAAAATATAACTACATTTAAATAGTATAACAGCCTAATAATAGATCAACTTAAAGCTAGAATTATACGCGCATCACAATAAAATTATGCCATTTTTAGTGTTTAGTGATTTTAAGGTTACGCCAAGGCCGTTCATAGTTAACTTTTCTCAATTAAATTGCGAAGCAAGTTTATTAAAAGTTTGGTGATTATCAGTTTAGTGTTTGCCAATAACTGGCTAAACTTAAGGAAAAAACACACGTCTATTTAAACCCAACTGCGCAAGTTTCTTGAATATGAATTGTTACATTTTTTTACTTGCGCAAAACTAACGCAATAATCGTGTTTAAGAAAGTTTTGATGAATTTGCTCCCAAGCAATATTAGCAAATAACTTATTATTCATAAAATAATTTATTCATAAACGACTCTTTAAATTTCTTAGTGGCCTTTCAATCTGTTTACTTAAAGAATGTAAAAAATGTTTATATTAGTTTTCATTGAAAGTGTTTATATTAGTGTTCATTGTTTATAGCAAGTTTATAGTTTGCATCAACTTAATTTTGTATTGCTTAAATGAATGTTAAAAATATAATATATAAATATATATACATTTTTAGTTTTTTTTTCAAGAAAAATGTATTTCTCTATTTTGTGAAAAAATTAAGGTCGAGTACTCGAGACCTTAATTTTTAATTTGATTGCATAAAAACTATTGTTTTTTCACAAACTAGAGAAATACATTTTTCTTGAAAAAAAAACTAAAAATCTATATATATTTATATATTATATTTTTAACATTCATTTAAACAATACGAAATTAAATAGATGCAAACTAATGTGCAATATACATAGCTGCATACATACATACATACATACATACATACATACATACATACATACATACATACATACATACATACATACATACATACATACATACATACATACATACATACATACATACATAAATATATATATATATATATATATATATATATATATATATATATATATATATATATATATATATATATATATATATATATATATATATATATATATATATATATATATATATATATATATATATATATATATATATTTATGTATGTATGTATGTATGTATGTATGTATGTATGTTTAAAATCAAGACAACATAACAAACCTATTTATTTTTTGAAACATAATATAAACTTTGTAATCAGATCATTTCCTGTTTGTCAAATGTTTTTTTATTTTATTTTTTACATCATGTTTTGGATGTTATTTATAGAAAAGATTCTGAAATTGTCCTGAACTGAGAATGCATTTTAAACTATTTCGGACTTCCTGCATATCACAAAAAAAAGTTTTTGTAGGGAGGGAAACATGTGGTGATCTATGTTTACGTTGTGAAATCATAATGTTTATTTAAGCTTTGAAACAAGGATTTATTCATTAGTATCTTAGGTGCGGGTATTATCAGAGTGGTTCTAGTCAAAGTAAGATATCAAGGTAGTTTTATACTTTTTTAATTTTTTTTCCTTAAATTTTTTAATTTCATTTTTTAGTTTCTAACTTATTTTTATGTTAAACTCAAATTTTAACCATAATTATATCAAGTTAAACAATAAATCTAATAATATAGTTTTAAATAAAACTTTTATCTCGTTAACATTCAAAGTTTTTAACTTTAAGTTCTGTGTCTTCTAAAGTTCTCTATGACCTGTAGTTAAAAACTTAGCAATGCTACATCTATTAATAATTGATTTACAAAAAAAAATAAAAAAAGATGAATAAATAAAAAGAAGCGAGAGAAAAAAAAGCTAAGTAATTCATTAAAATAGTTCATTGTGATTATTTTATAATGTCTGCTTTACTATTTAGTTCTCCTAGGAATCAAGCTGTTACGTTAATTTACTTTTAATTGTTAATAAATAAACAAAGTCTTATAAAACGTTCTTTATTAATCATAAATCCTTCGGATGTTTTGAAACCCCTTGATTTATGGCGGTTTCCAGTCATTTAAAAAGTTATTTGACAAACTTCAAAGCTATGTTTACGTATTTACATAAGCGAACTTAACATTTGTTAAAGAACTTGCGTTATACAAGGCTGCAACTGAAATAATTATTACAAGTAAGGTCTCGCCAAGAGTGTAACGGCGTCTTTTGCATCATCAAAAGACACTATGCATTATTTGCATTTTTTTTAATTAATTTTTACTTATGCGGTCGTTCGACCCTCACTCTTACAAGTTTTAATTATTTTTTTTTTTTAAACATTCGAGTATTATGTTTTTATTTTGATAAAGAATTCCAATAACTTGATGTTTTTTTTTATCAATAATTATTTTACATGTTTTAACACTGGCTTGCAATAGACCTAGCGATAAATAAAGTGCTAACAAAAAAATTTATTAATAATGATAATATTCTATATATAAATAATTTAAATATAAATATTAAACTATTTTAATTTATATAAATAATTATATTAATTTTCATAAATATAATATTTAATTTTATATAAATATTTTATAAATATCCTGATTAATTTCGATAAATTTATATTAGGTAATATATTCACCTACAATGCAGCATAAATTATAATAATAATTTGTAAATCTAATAAATTTTTGTGTAAGTTACATAAATGTTCACCGCGACCTTTACAGTTTTACAGACCTTTTACCGAGACACTTACATCATCACCAATATCGTATAACCACAATGTAAAAAAACAATTCTTTTTCTAGCAGGGCCGTATTATGGAGGAAGCTGATGGGCTGCAATCCCTGACTCTAATAAAAAATAGGCCGACTTGTGCCTATTTTTAAATATATTTTTTTTGTAGGAGGAGGGGAGGGGGAGGAAGACCAGAAAAAATAAGATATTAATATTGAATTTAGCAAGAAGAAATGTAAAAGGAATATACAAAACCTTTAAAGGAAACGATAACGATCAATACAATGTAATGTAAGAAAACTTTGATCAATTTTTCAAATCAAGAAAAAATATGACGTATGAACGTTTCATTTTTACGGACACAGTGAAAAAGAAAGTACTGTAAGTTTTGTTATTCGATTACAAAAACAAGCTGAATATTGTGCTTTTATAGATCTTGCTAAGGCAGTAAAGGATCAATTTCTATCATTATTTCACTCCATAAAAATAAAGCAAAGGCGTCTGACATAAATCTCAAAAACGTGTTGAGATTGGTTGCAAGGTGGACACATTAAAACAACAAACAAAAAAAATCTTGCAAAAAAAACAGTTAAAAAAAGAAATCAACTCGCTTGACCATTAAAAAAGTAGTAACCTTTTCAAGATGAAAACTAGCTACATATTTGAAGTCAGGATATTTTAAATACAGAACCAAAATGAAAGTGACCCTGACTACCTTGTGTAGTCTCGTTCCCACTCAGCATTTTAAGGTAACCGCCACATTAGACTCTCTTATATTTACAGCCTCAGGTCTAAAAATATCTTCATCCAGCCCTGCGTTCATTTTTCAAATCAATTTCTCTCTTATTTTGCCAATTAATCTAATTATAAAACTAACATTGTCAAATTAGCTATTCAATTTTTTAGTGTTTCAAGCTTTTAAGAATATTGAACTTGTACGTATTTTCAAATGTTTTCATGATTAAAAGCATTTTCAATTATTCAAAATTATTTTTGAAATTTTTATATATTTTTGCATTTTTATAGACCCGACACAAAGAAGAAACATTTACAGAAACTTTTTTTGCAAAATGTTGGGGACCCTTTAAATGTTTACGGGTCTTAGGGCAACTATAAAAATATTTTTTAGGAAAAAAATTTTTCTTACAGTGTTATTTTATTATAAAGCTGAATTGGATTAAGTTGTCGTTTTGTCACAGTAATGCTTAATTTGTTTTAATTTTGAAAAATATCTAGTTATAAATTATGGAACAAAAAACAAAACTTATACTTATCTTATAAATGGCAGATAAGTTGAGAAAATAATTTTAGTGACAGACTTGGGAGTAAAATTTTCAAATGATCTTAAGTGAAAATAACAGATTATATCATCTACTTTGAAAGCAGTTTTTAAAGCAAAAAAATATATATAGCAAAAAAGATTTCTAATTGTAAAAATAACATTTTTCTATAAAAATAAAAGTTTTCTGATATTTTACATATAATATACACGATAGTTCCATGTACCTCAATAGTAATGAATAGTTAGTAATAAATAATTAGCAATTCTATTTTAGAACAAATAAAAAAAAAAACTGTAATACTTTTTAATAAATATTTTGTTAAATAATAAAAACCACTAAACCAAGTTAATATTTACTTTTATTCTAAACTTTTTAAAAATTCACCAAATATCTTTAAAGGTATTTGTTTTTCACTGTAAAAATCTGTTAAATGCAGTCCGCGCCAAATAAATAGCACACACTATAAATATAATATATTTTATTCATTTTATGCTGTTTTAAACATTAAAATATCTAAAAATAGTCATAATCAGAGACGTAATAAAAAGCATATTGTTTTTGGCGCCAAATATTTTACCGCGTCAAAATAAGGCAGATATTATTATATTTTCTGGTGACAAACGGATAGCATACGTCAGTCATTTAGCATTTGACTGTAACAGACGAAGTGCTAACGCTAGATAAGTGACACATATTAACGTAGATCAAATACCCATCATATGTGATTAAACATATGTGTTACTGATGACTACTATCGGACGTGGAACTAAGTTAAATGCTGAAGAACCCGCTATGATCAAGGCATTTAAGGCTGCATATATATCAACGCATATATCTGAGATATCAAATGCATATGCATATATCTGAGATATCAAAACTTATACAGCGAAATTGGAAAATGATCAAGAAGATTTTGAAGGACTCTGATACATATTTGAAAACAAAATCCAAAAAAAATGCTTCAAAATTTACCAAGCGTGATAAACGTAACATACTATAAATGGCTTCAATACACACCCAGCTGGATATTGATTTGCCATTACGTACGATACAAAGAACGTTACCTGAAGCCAAAAATCTGAGGTATTAGAAGCATATGTCAACACCAGCAATGCAGAAGCATATCATGGAGAAACGCATGGTGTGTGCGAACAAATATTTGTCTTATCCACCTGATTGTGGCTCAATTTTTTGGTCTTATGAGAAGAAATTTAATTTCGATGGTCCAGATAGATATCAATATTAATGGCAAGACTTACGAAAAGAGCCTTAGACTTTCTTGTCCAGACAAAATGGAGGTGGTGGGGTCATGATTTTAGGTGCATTTTCCAAGGCTAGATCATCTGAATTGAAGTTCTTTGAAGGGAAACAAACAGGCAAAGACTATACTATTACACTCTTTGATTACTAAATGTTGTATGGGCAAGCGCTATCTTACATAAACACAAAACATGCGTTTGTCTTTTTACAAGATAAAGCATGGATACATACGGCAAAGACTGTGATGGAGTTTGTAACGGAATATGATATTCAGTTGTTTGATCATCCAGCGCTGTCACCCGACTTGAATCCAATTGAAAACATTTGGGGTTACTTGTCTTGTCACGTGTATAAAAATGGAAAAGAATACAGTAACCTCACAGAACTAAAAACGGGCATCCAGATGGAATTGCATGAGCAATTCTTTTGGCGCGGACTGTAAAAACTAAAACTGTAAAAAATTGGTTTCCTTCTGACTGAATCTTTTTCAGCCAGCAATAGTTGTCAAGAAATTTACTGTATTATACATATATAAATATATATATATATATATATATATATATATATATATATATATATATATATATATATATATATATATATATATATATATATATATATATATATATATATATATATATATTAGGGCCCTGCGATTCGATTCGAATCGATTCGACTCGCAAATCATATGTCACTTTGATTCCAGATTCGATTCCAAATAATGATTCTTTTTTTTCAAATCACTATTTATTTTGTGTGTTGTTGTTTTTTCAAATATCTAACGATAAGATGCAATTAAAATGTTATTTATCTCAGCCAGAGTAAAGTAATTGTAATCAAAAGTAATTCTAATAAAAGTAATTGTAATACTGCTCCCATACAACTAATAAAAGAATATTCAGGGCAAAAAAAAAAAATTCTAAACAGATTTTTTTTTTTTGAAAAAAGATGCTTAAATTTGGATTTTCTCATATTGCTGATTTGATTCGTGATTCGATTTGATTTGTTAATCAAGACTCACTTCGATTCGAGATAAGGTTCGAAATTAAAAATGAAAGATTCGCAGGGCCCTATAATATATATATATATATATATATATATATATATATATATATATATATATATATATATATATATATATATATATATATATATATATATATATATATATATATATATATATATATATATATGTATATATATATATATCAGTGACTTTTTTTTGATAATTCCTAATAATATAATATTTACTAGATAATATTAGATTAATAGTTTATAAGATTAAAGCATACTATTAAATATTAAAAAATCTTAGTGACCTTCTTGAAAAATCATAGAGGTCTTTTTTAAAGATATTAATGATCTTATTTAAAGATCTTAGAGGTCTTCTTTAAAGATCATAGTGGTCTTCTGAGTAGTCTACTAATGACAATATTGTAATATTGTACCAACTATTGTGCAGAACGTCTGAAAGTGAACCAGGCGTTGTAATAACTAATGATTTAGAGGAGTTAGAATTAGAGGTAAACAAGTATTTACGGCCACATCTTGGTGTGTCTTTTGAGGCCGTAGCCTTGTTCTATGGCATGCATTGTATACTTCATACATTCGCCTTCACTGGAATTCGCAGTACAAACGAATAATCACTATATCTAGCTCAAGATATAACCAAACTTGAGAAAATTTAATACCACGAAATACATTTCCACCTTAAAGCAATTAACCTACACTTAGCGATTGTTTAGATTAAACCTGACAACGTTAACCGAACGAGTAGAGTAGATGCAGGCGTAGATTTTATTAAACAATGCAAAATTAACTGCAAAATCAACATAGTTAAAATCTCAGCCCCTCAGCGTTAACTAAACTCAACGTCATCAAAGTAAAGTTTTCGAACTCAAACCAAACAACTAAAAGTACAACTTGTTCGAAATGCGCTGAAAGAAATAACTTCTTCACCAACTGTGTAGCCAAACCATGGAACGCTTTAACCAAAAACGCGATAAATTCAACAAGTATAAGTAAAAATATAACTTTATTGACTGTATTTTAATCACAAGAGTGGCCTAACGCGGCTCTTCATCAATAATTTGTAAATTTTATTGATTGTGAATAAATTAAAATTAAAATAAGATCAACTAACATTAAAAGTTTTTTTATCAAAGTATTTTTATTACAAAAAGATTAAAAAAACTTTTTTTGATATTTATTTAGTATTAGAATTAAATAGATTACTGATTGTAAAAATTATAAGTTCTGGTAAATTATGTTTCTTTTACCTCTTGCTAAACATTAGCTCAGTAAAACAAAAACCACAATTAAAAAAAAGCTAAAATACGGACTTTGATTTAATTCTCTATGACAAATGATTGCTTAAAAACAATATTTTGATTTAAATAATTTGTCCAGATACATTTTCGGATATCGGTATTGGTATACAAGGTTTTGGACTCATTTTAAAATTTTATATTGTATTTTATACTTTCATACTTAAATATAAAATTAACAAAATTCTAATAAACAAAAATATAAATGTCTTTCATACTTAAATATAAAAACTTAGTAATTTTTTATACTTTAGTCTTGTGTTATGGTTCATTTAAAAGGAACGATTCTGAAAAACTAATCAACATTTGTGAGTAAATAACTTGAGAAAAAAATGAATGTTAAATTTATTTTTTTCCTGGTTTTGATGGTTTGGAGTCTGGAAACATTTTTGGCCGGTAAGTGTATGCAATCTTTTCTTTTACTAAAATTTTTGAATAAATATTGATAGATATAACTTTGTTTTGTTTTTTGTTCTTACTAATTATATTGCTAACTAAATACAAAATAAAAAAAAAAAAAAAAAAAAAAACAAAGAAAATCACAAAAGAAGCACTAAATAAAAAAGTTAAAAAATAATGAAAAATTGATTAATAATCAAGAAATTTAGTATAATTTGTATAAGTAATACACGTTGAGTGCGAACACTTCAGAATTCGCTTCCGCTATTGTTTTTAATCGTGCTGAATGTTACGGCTTTTAGTTCGCAAAAAATTCAGTTCAAATTTTTTTTTAATAACAATTAGAAATAAAGGCTAACTTTGCGTTTTTTGTATCCGTTTTATTAAATTCAAAAACTCAAAAAACTTATATGGGATACAAAACGTTCAGTGATGTTTACATTACACGTTGTTTAAAGGGAGCAACTTTATTGGGAAAATTACCGGTTCCCTAATATTTTGTAGAAAAAACGTTTTTTAAAAGTAGATCAGGCTGGTACTCAAAAGAAGCGAAATTTTATAAAAAAAATTCAAAAATAATAATCGTTCTATAAAAATCATATTGCCAGAAAATAATGTTACTAAAAAACTTGTAAAAATGCACTTTTTTCATTTTTAGTTAAAAAACCATAGATATTATGCAATAAAATCTAAACTAATAATTTTTACATGAGTAAATTATTATTTTTGTAATCTTTATGAAATTTTGCTTTATTTGAGTACCAGCATCGCATAATTTTGAAGAACTTTTTTTTTGAATAATAATAAAGGTGAATGCACCGCAAAAACCAAGACACCTTAAAAACAGCGTGGTCAGTTACAGGGGTGGGACCGCAAAATGTGAACACTTTTCTGATTGTAATAATTAATTTTCTGTTAAATATGAACTATTTTAAATGTTCAATTTTTGTTTTTTTACATATTATATTTTACTTTGTTTACATATTCATTAGTACTTTGTCTTTCGTATTTTATCAAATAAACTCAGCTACATCTAACGAGAAAATAGTTATAATAAAACAAAAACGTTCACATTTTGCGATCCCACCCCTGTATATGGCAATAAAAATTTAAATCTGTACTTTAAAACCACAAAAGAAATGTTTTTTGATACATGAATGTTCCAGTAACAATTAAAATAAAAGAAAACTAAGATAACAATATAGGAAAATTTTTACAAATGTTTTCAGTTAAAAAAAGTGTATAAATTTTTTGGAATTTTTAAGAATAATTGCTATAAAATAGTGGTTTTTTAGACTAAGTTTGCAACTCCAATCTAGTTAACTTATCTTTTATATATTGTATGCATAAATTAAACCATTTACATTTTAAGTAGAAGGGAAACATGTAAAAATAACAATTAAAATGTACAATTCAACATGTGGTTTTTGGAGTGCATTAAAAAAAGAATTAACCAGAATCAATCTTTTCCACTAAGTTTGCACAAAACTTATAGAAATATCTTATTAAAATAATTGGTTCATTTCTGGATTTCGTCCATTTACTTTGCAATTTACTTGGCTGCAAGATGGCTGTTTCTCTGCTTCAATACAGTTTTCTGCTCTTTCAAATTTATCTTTTTGCATAAATTCAACACTCAATGAGTTTTCAGTGACACCAACCCTTCTAGCAGATTATAATAGTTTCTTTGGTTGCCCATTTGTGTCATATATTAGCTAGAACTCACAAAAGCTTCTTTATTTAAGGAGCAGATAGCTGAAAACATAGAGTCTTTCTGTTTATGATACTCGCTATGAATGTTCTTATTTACTTGGTCAAGAAGTTGAGTAACTCCTGTTGTGTCTAGTGGAGCGACTATGAGACGAATTTTTTCCGACTCAAGAAAAGATAAAACATCAAAGTCTAGTCTTGAGCTATGTCCATCTGACAATAAGATGATGGGTCGCTTAAAATTTTTTTCATTTAAGTAGACATCGAATTCTTTCAATGCTGCCAAGTATGATTCATAGTTTAATACTCCATTTTCAGATGTCATAACCAACAAATGTGGAATTTTATTTGCTGCTTCTGTCGGAACCATACAACTTGTAATACCAGTACATTTAAAAATCACCTGGCATATACATATATCCCCTTAAATAAAAATTGAAAATCATTTTAAGCAAGTATTATTATTTATAAATTTTTTTTAAACCATATATTATTGCATACCTGAAAATGAAACAAATGGTTGAATTGTGACACATTCTCTGTTTTCTCTATACATTCTTTGACATACATTCCCTTTGCCAGCATAAAATAATCCAGAATCGGTACCATCAACCCCATAGTTAATAAATTGGGGTGTTTCATCACAATTAAATATTCGACTAGTATCAACAATGCCATTCCAAACCCCTGCTTCAATTTTCTCTTCATTAACCATAACACCATCTTCTACTAGTTCTTTAGCAAGTGAATTTGATATATATTACACAGAAACAAGTATATTTAAAAACGTAGATTGATACTTATTTATAAAAATTTTCAAACTGATACCTAAATGATTACATTCCATTTCCCTTGAACAATTCAATGCACGGTTTATAGACACTCTTCCTTGTTGCTTGATGGTAAGACTGCTATGTTTAGCATTAAAGCGAAGCCAAAATGATCGACTTAATCTATAAAAGAGGACCTTTATATAAAAATAATAGTCTGATTAAAAAAAGGGATATTTAAATATAAAGATGATTCTTATTACCCTATTTAGATTTCATAGGATCATAGTAAGTTTAACTATTTAGTTTCAACTTATTTTCTATTTTACAGTGCAGCTCGAGCATTTAATAATAATTTGTGAAACTTCCTTCCATCTTTCATCTTTGTATTAGTGTGATGTCTAATACGTAGCACATTTAGAATTAACTTGGTTACTTCCTGTTTATTAATTGATTGTAAAGACCTGTTCTAATTTTTTATAAAACGAACAATACATGCCTCTTCATTTTCTGTAAGTATAGTACAATAACTTTTTTCTTGTCCATTAACCTTTGTTCCATCTAATTGCCTGTTGATTGTCTCTCTATCTTTGATAAGAGGAAACATACCAGTCTTTAATGCTGCTTGTCTCCTCCCATTCGTTTTTTTGCACCAATTTAAAGCAGATTTTAGTTGCTTATTTTTCATTAGTTTTCTGGCAACTGTGGCATCAGCTTTTGTACTAATTTTCTTACTTTGTTTATACGTATATGTAACGGAGATGTTGGTTTAATTCTACTTACTATTAACAAATGCAATAAATATAATAAACGAAACTCTAAAATGGCGAACAAACAGAAAAACATAACTTGCTTCAATGGTAGTATTTCCGCAATTAATTAACATATATAATTAAACTTTTTTATGGATGATAAATAGAAAAATCTTCAAGTAAACTATATAAATATTTTATTAAATTATTTCAAATCTTTTCCATAATCATCAAAAAACCAACGTTGTTTTTGGGGTGCATATGATGTGGTTTTTATAGAAAATTTGAAGTGTTCTATAAAATATAAGTTAGCAGTGATGCAATCATCCTAAGAGCAATTTATTATAACAATCTTCTTCAAAACATCAGGTTAAAATTCTTTACAGTTAAGAAATTATAGCTAAATTAGTTAATGTGGTTTTTGGGGTGCATGGCGAAAAAAAAAGTCAGCTTCAACATTCAAGCAAAAGAAAATAAGCGAGACATATTAAACCATACCTACCAGGAAGAACCCCATTTGGGCTTATCTTTCAATAGTAATAACTTAAAAAACATTATTTTTCTCAAGAAAAAAGTTCTAGGCTCTCCTACTTTCATTTGGTTTTTGGGGTGCAACCACCTGTAGGGCTAATTTTTATAATTAAAGACATTGTTCAATCCTTAAAAGTAAATACTTTCCCAAATTAGTACATAAAAAAACAAGACCAATGCCGATATTGATGATATCGGCATTGGTCCCAAGACCAATGCCGATATCGATGCACCGACTAAATGGTCGATGAGCCGCCGTAGAGCAGCCGTAGAGCGCTTGTCTCAGAAACTAGATATCCGTAGTTAAACACCATCTCTGGGTACATTTTATAAAACGGTGAAGAAAGCGGCGTGGACTATCAAATGCTCTTCCACGGTGCTTTGTGAATAGAAAATAAGGACTTCTTGGAGGTACTTAAAAAAAAAAATTAAAAAAAAAAATGTATTGTCAGGCCGAAGCCAATGCATTGGAGCACCCCTAAATATTATGTGTTTCTGAAACAATTGAAACTGAACTTTTAAGACTTTTTTTATAATCGGTGTATAATATATACCGATTTTAAATATTACTTTGTGAAATTTATCCACGATCTTAAACTCAAAAGTTACTGAAAAACTAAATATTTAATATGTAAAGAAAGAACATGAAAAAATGAGTGGTTGTGGATGGTCAAGATTTTTGTGTATATAAAGGCATCTTGTTAAGTCGACCCAAAGAAAAGAATAGTAGTCAACCTGCTGAACAATTAAATTTTTTTTATATTAACGCAGCATACATGAATGTTGAATATTTTATAGGATGATTACATGACTTGGGCATCATTAACGCTGTTTATTCAATAAATAAAAATGTTAGGCCATAATGTTAGGTTGACAATATCTCCAATTAGGGCACTATTTTACTTCACCTCCCCCAATTTTATTAATAATTGCGATAAATAATTTTAATAAATAAAACAGCATAAATAGTTTTATGCTGCTCAAAATTGACAAAAAAGAATAAAGACACGAAAATAAAAGGAAAGTACACTAATTTGATGTTAAAGTGTTAAAAAAATACACAAAAGCGCTATTTGTCATCAATTCTAAAATATGACTTTATAGTTATGTAGTAACATAAAATTTACATTAAAAATATTTTATAGTTTTAATTCTGAACAAACGTTGCACTTTTTTTAGAGCGTGTTTTGTATTTTTAAGTTTTTTCAAAAAAATATAGTTGCAAAAAAATTAA